TAAACAAACCAGTTGTTAAAATTTTGTTAAGCAAAAGAATTGATGTTAACTACAGATACCAGTGAGTGTGCTATAACCACAATATTGTCACAGGAGGATCAACCTGTAATGTAATTATCTTGGAAACTAACAAAGGCAAATTATTTGAATATTGAAAAAGTGGTATTGGTGATTGTGTGGAGCATGGAAAAAGCTAGAAATTTTTTTTTCTGAGAAGGAAATTTCTGTTAAAATCTGATCAAAAGCCTTTGGAATTTATATTCAAACCTAGAAGAGAGTTACCAAAGGTCACATCTTCCAGGATATTAAGATAGGTGATTAAACTTATGGCTTTCAACTTTGACGACATATATATTAAAGGAAATACTATTCCGCTTGTGGATGCATTATCTCGGTTAAATTTGAAAGTAAAAATATTGAAGCAAGTGAAAACTGTGAGGATAGGATTTTGCACTGGATAGAAATGGACATATATATTACATATCATGGCACTCCACATCTTCCTGTTCCTTGCAGCTCTATCAGTTTTATCTTTTTGTTCAAACCCTGTTCTACCATCAATATGCTCAAGCTCATCAAGTATATTATGCGCTGCTTTCCTCTGTCCCTATCCCCACCCTCAGTCTGTTCTGTGAGTATTAGATTTTCCAAGCCCTCCTTCCTCATTACATGTCCCAGAAAGTTCAACTGCCTCTTCCTTCTTTTTTGTTTCCATTTTCTCCAAAAACTCGTCATTGCTCAAATGTTTGTTCCATGATATCCTCAGCATCTTTCTGTAGAACTACATTTCTGTTTCTTCAAGTCTCTTCTTCATCTTTGAGATTCTCCAGCATTCACAGCCATACAGGAGGGCAGATATCATGTAACAGTTCAATACTCTTTATTTCTAACAAAATTTTTCTGTCTCTTAATACTCTGCTTAGCTTTCGGAATGCATTTTTTTCCGTCCCAATTCATCTTCAGATCTACAGAAACCTTTTTTTGTCAAAGAACCACTTTCAGCTGCAAAAAGGGTAAAACTTCAGACAGTATGATAGTTGTAACTCTTGGTTTAAAATGATTTCCTTTGAAGCTTATTCTCCAAAAAATAATTTATTACCAGGATCTTCTAAATAAAAATGGAGTAAATTCTTTTCATTCTTTATTTAACATATATATAATTCCAAGAGAGAAACAAATACACACATTAATTTTATTCTTGAACTTTACCTAGCCTTTTAATACAAACACTAAATTGGGTTATCAGAAATCAAATCAAAACAGAACAATGCAACAAGATAACACTTTCCACTTCAGAAGCAATCAAAAATAAAATTAAACAAAAGTTTTTCCTTCTTATTTGTTCCAGTTACAATGGAACTGACAAAGACTTCTCAACAATTCCTGTTGACAGAGACCATTAGATTTGGACACTGAGTGTTTCAATGGGATTTGCTTTATTAGATTTGTGACACTGAGGATCAACCAGCTGGAGAAACAAGGTTTCAGGCTTATGAATGAAAAGAGGAAAACAGAAAGGAACAGAGGTCATTGGCTAATAATCTCAAGTGACTTCAAGGAATTTTTGACTAATGACTTGTAAAGTAAACAATGTTATTCAGATCAAGAGAAATTATACAATATAGAAGATAGGCAAAAGTAACAAATCAGTAGGATGTTAAACATCAGGAATTATACATTATTTACATTATTCGGACTATTGTCCTCATCTTTGTCACCATATTTATCACAACGTTTCGGCCGTTGTATGCTCCGGCCTTCTTCAGGTGGTTGAAATGTCAAACTGAACCCTTTATTTCGCTCACTGGGGTAGACTGTTCTAGTTCCACAAGACTACATGTTTAATGGATGTCAGTTATCAGTTATCTCCTGTTAATATGAGAGAGAAGGGAGATCACCTTTTCTTGGGATCATTTTGACATCATAGACAAGGAACACCATTGGAAAATTCATAAACTTAAGGAATCAGCACATAAGCTAGGCCACAAAAATCTCCTGAGCCAATCAAGCATAGAAATAAATACAATATGGGAACCAGTAATAAGGAGTGCCAGAGAAAAGCAATGATAACAACAAAGTTGCAATATGAGCTCTGGTAAAAAAAACATGCAATGATAACAGCAAAAATTGCAATATGAGCACTGGTAAAAATGGTTGCTGAAGACATTAGGTTTATAATACCCAAAAATTCATACACATGGACACATGGCACAGTGGATAAAGGTGTTGGTTAGATCCAGTGACAAAACCCAAAGAGTGTGAGTTCAATAGTGGAGAACTTTTAGAGGGAAAAATTAACAGGAGATAACTGATATCCATGAAACATGGCAATGGAACTAGAACAGTCTACCCCTGTGACTCCAAAGAAAGTTCTTTGTTCGGTCCGACATTCCAACCACCTGAAGAAGGGCAGTGTACAACGGCCAAAACATTGTAATAAATATGGCGACAAAGATGAGGACAATAGTCCAAATAATGTAAATAATGTACATAATACCTCATCTCAGAAATATAGACAGATATCAGGTATTATACACACACACACAAGACATAAAGTAATGAAGAATTTCTTAAGAGAGAGATCAGTTGATATTTTTATTAATTCTACCTACAGAAAGAAAGAAACTATAAATGATTTTCATTTTATCAAAATATTATTTTGGAAATATCAAGAAATTCATACCTTATATAACAGCTATTATAATAAGCTATTTTTAATTATAAGATTGTCTTTTATGTACTGTGTTCCTTCAGAATTATTGGGCGATCATGACTCTCCACAACTTCCTAACCTTTGTAGCTTTTAGCAATGTTGCCTTTTTACTTCCCCTTCCAAGCTGCATGGATACAGCATGGCAGATCAGAGCTTTTTTTTTGTTTCTAATTAAATTTTCCTATGATAATATTTCACTTAGTTCTAGAAGGCCTCCCTTGCTATTCCAATGCAACTTAGAATCTCATATTTACCATCATCTGTTAGTGCATTACACATTTAGTTAAATTGTGATAGCTACTTGTTTCTGATGTTTCTAACTAAAAGTTCATACTTTTGGCTGCCTTGCTTACTGATGACCATATATTCCGTCTTCTGGTTAATGGTTACTTCTTTTTCTTTGCTTTCCTTGTGTATATGTTTTTGCAGTTTTCCTTCATTGCAATACCGCTCTGCTGCTTCTATCAAATATGAATAATTCATCTATTTTGGTCATTCAAAAAGGTTTAGAAACAAAAGATAGTCAGATGGATTAAGATCTGCTGAGTAGAGTGGATGGTCAATACACTGAAACCTGAGATTATTCAAAACACCTACTGCCTTGTCAGCCCAGTGAGCATTGTCCTACAAAAAATAATACTTTCCATAGTTTCCCCTCACTATTTTTCTTCAATGCCTCCCTTTAGTTGGCACAACATTTTAGAGTAATATCCTGCAGTTACTGTTTGGCACTTCTGGAAACAGTCACTCATCAAAATATGTTCCTTATCCCAAGAAAACTGTAGCCATAATTTTTTTTTCAGCTGAGGAGAACCGAGTACTATCACAGCAAGGACTGTTGGTTTCAGATCATTTAAGTGTAACCATGTTGTATCAACAGTAATGCCTCATTCTAAAAAATGTCCACTAGATCCCTGAAAATGCTGTAAAATGAACTTAGAAATATCCACATGACACAGTTTCTGCATGGCATTCAAACATTTTGCCACAACTTGGCTGACAATTTCTGCACATCCAACTACTCATGAATTATAAATTTAGCACATTTCCTGGATGTCTGAGCAATTCTTTTGACTAAGGTTCATCGATCAGCCAAAATTACATCATGAACATTATTAATAATTTCAGGAGTTGACACCATTGGAGGTCTTCCCAGATGCTAGCATATCTTGGGTTACAAAATCTCCAAACAGGAAGTTCTCGAATTCCTTCTTCACAGCTGAGTATGACAAGCACTTGTCACCTAATGTTTGCATCATACATTCATGGATTTCCTGCAGAAGCCGTAACTTCCTAATGGCTTTGAGTTCAACACTTGACAATTCTACACTTTCCATTGATACAGTTTGGTCAATGATTTAAAAATATGTCCAAGATTGCCACTAAACAACAACAACAAAAAAATTCTTTCCAGCTACAGTGAGAAAATAATGTTCCAATATTATGAAGTGAGTCTGGGACAATAACTTTTCAGCAACTCTTTTTATAAAACATGCATATATAATATGCACAAGGTAAGAAAAAAAAAAACAGACTTGTAAACAACTGTCAAAATTATTGAAATGTTGCTTACACAGATATATGTAATATATATAGAATAATATAAACACAAACTATAGGCATGTATATTCAAAAATCCATCAGTAATCATGGAACAACTCAATCATATACTTAGTTGTAGATGTGCTTCAAAATCTAAACATACAACTGATTTGGTAATGGTAATATCCATTTCCTTATAACGAAATATATGGTATTCACTGACTGAGCAGCCAATACTGTTTTCGGGTGAAATCTTTCTTTTAAAATAATTTTTCTGGAAAATAGGTTTCTCAAGTCCAGTAGTTGTTATCAGTCTTTCCAGCATTGATTAGTGTTTCTTTCCTAACCTTTTATTTGTAGTGAGGAATGAAAACACCTCGATTATGTCATTATTTTCTCTTTCAGTTACTTGCACTATCCATTTTAGCTGTTGCTGCTGTTGAAAGTCTTCAAGTAATGTGGTTTCTGTTATTTGGCACAATTCTTTGTTTGTGATTCTATAGCACCAGTCCACAAGGTTCAATGAAGTCTTCACCAAGACTCACAGGTTTCACTTGATCAAAGCCATTTTTAACCATTGATCTTAGAAAGTGATTGTATACAGCTGACAGTTTAGATATTTCTGAACAAGTTTGGCGCCAGGCATGGCATCCATATGAAAGTATTGATCTGAAAATTTAATCAAAATACATAAGAATATTGGAAGTTTGGAGAAAATTGATTTTTTGTTTTTTTTACTATCTCCTCAAGAAGAGACAATGTCTGATAGATGAATGTTGAGATCGTCAGGGACAGATGTAGTGGCCCGAGCTGATAGATTGCATATCTATTGATAAAGGCACATATCATATGTGCCATGGTGGGGATGGAAAAGACAGGTATGCAAAAGCAAATACCAGAAAGTGGCACTCATAGCTTTCTATTTGATTTTAGTAAAAAATCTCTCTGTAGCTTAAGAAAAGAGAAGAAAAAGACAACTTTAAACATTTATTTTCCAGAACTAATATTGAAAACTTCTTTCAGAGATCCTAAGTCAAATAATGCTTTTAAATTTTTTAAACACATTCCAAGTCAGAAGATAAAACAATTATCAGAATTTCTCATTAATAAAGTACAGAGTGTAAAATAGGACAAAGAAATTAAATAATGAGACACCAGCTGAGAATGAGTGCTATCTACCACAAATCATGTGCCAATGGGAGCTCAGCACCTTAACCATGGCCATAAAAGCTGAAAAATTTCAAGCTAAACCAAAAGCTATCAGGGTGTTAATTTAATTTTCTTTTTCTTTGTCTGAGATTATATTTTTTAGGATAGATTTTCAACATTGTGGATCTCAGATTGAAGATGTATTCTATTATCATTTTAACTTGTTTTGAAATGCATTTTCATGTTTGATCCATCAACAATTATTTCTTATTTACAGTAGCATAACAAGACTTCATGGACTTTAATTCTCATGTTCAGGTTAGAGTTATAAAATGATTTAACAAGATATTAAAAATTCTCAACCTATAAAGAACTTCAGAATGAAAACTATTTCTTTTATTATAACATAAAAATGCCATTGTTGGGATACAAAAGACATTTATACACCCCTTTGGTGGAGATAAATCACATGGTCACATGACAGCTGCTTAGTGACATCACTCCATACAGTGACTATAATGGCACCAAATTTCAGTTTTGTTTACAGCAGCCAAACAGTAAGGTTACTTTTTTTAGCCCAGGCCCTCTGTAGCCTGGGCAGAGGCTAAATCTGCCTCTGCCAGCAGCTTACAAGTCCTTTTTGCCATTTCTCTCTGGGAATATATTTTCCCAAATATAGAAAGAAACTCCCCAATTTGGAAAAATGCAAGATTCATTGTTTCCTGTTTGTGGAATATGTTCTTGCCTGGAACATAGAGGAATCTGGCATATTTAAATTTGGCTTTTAACATTTTCCAGATACATTAAGACCCCTTTGTCATTTTTTTGAAACTTTTTTTTTGTTGTGTAGAATACATGTGATATATATGGTTTCTCATAGGCAAAAAATATATAAATAATATCATGTCTTAGTAGTATAAAAGTTGTTTCTGAGAAAGAAAGGTAATATTTTTCTCTCTTTTTTCATTTATTTTTATTCATTTTTTATCTATTTTTAATTTGTTATTATATCATGGATATTATGAATATAATGGGGAAAATAAATAAAAAAATAAAATCTTGTTTAAAATAGCTTCCCTTCATTACACTATCAAAAACAACAAGAATAAAAATCTATTTTAAAACAAATCCTAAAAAAAATCAAAAACAAATATAAAAAAAAAACAGGTGTCCCTGAGGAATCCATCCTTGTTTTGCAGAAAAAAAAAAATGAAAGTGTTAACAGTTAAGGAAAAACTTGAAAATCAAGAAGCAAAACAGATACAAGAATACAGAAATATCAGATAAAAATTAATGAAAAGAATAAAAAATAAAAAATAAAAAATATTCCCTTAAAATGTTAAAACTGTTTCCCATTTGCCAAATAAAAAAAAGGAATGAATGACGTAAACATAAAAGTCTTGTTAGTTTGAATAATAGTAAATTTCTATCATTTTCAGCAAAAGCATGTTTCACCAGACAGAGAATGTTGTTCTGACATGTGTGGAAAGCATATATAAAGAGATTTTCTTTTTGATTTTATCTTTCACTTTGTAGCGCATGTCATTTACATCACCTGTATACTGCTCGTAGATTACAATCTTGTCTGCAACTTGCACCTATGGAAAGATTGTAAAGTAAGAGAAGTGAGTTTGAGATCTAATTAAAAAAAAAGGGGGGGAAATGAAATAGAAGTTACTTTGTGATGCATATCAAGAGATTTATAGTAAGAGAAGTAGTTACATATAAAGAAACATTGATGGGAGATTGAAGACATTTCTTTTATGTTATAAAATCAAAATATCTAATAAATATTATAAAAACATTTAAAAAAACAGAATAAAAGATTTGTCTGTCAAAGTAAAAGTATTTAACTGGATTTTATTTGTAAACAGAACACAGTAAAATATTCTTAGGGCTAACTATACAAGTAAAGATAAATTATGGAGGACGTTAAGTGATGAAATGTAATGCCTAATAAAGATTTTGAAAATTTAATGATATTTTTCCTTCTGTTTATAAATAGATGCTGCAAAATAAAATGCTCACATTTACCTTTGTAAAGTCCCTCAATGGACAAAACACATTGGTAAAGAAAAGTTTTGCTTTTGCCATATTAGGAACAAGGCCACACCAAAAAGAATTAATTTTTATTATTATTATTATTAATTACCACACTAACAAACTGGTTCTTGAAAATGACTGAGATGGTGAAAAGTACTTGAACAAAACAACACAAACATGAGCTTCTGACAGTTTATCCACAATTTTGAGCACAGTTACAAGAATTATTCAAAAGTTGGAAAATACAATAACAAAATTAAAGACAGCCCTTGTTGAAGATTCTTTTTAATCAAACTGTGTATATGTGTATTTTGGATATATATATATGTGTGTGTGTGTGTGTATGCATATATTATGTATGTGTGTGTATATACACACACATATATATATATATATATAATATATATATATATATATATATATATATATATATATACAAATAAAATTTCATTCAAGCATGTCTGGTTGAATAATTTAGACATATTATGTCTATTTATTTTTATTCTCATCCTCTCAAATTCACGGATAAATTTCTTAGTATGAAACTGATCAAGAAAAACACTGTAATAATCCATATGTTTTTTTTTATTTTCCCAAGTACTTTCAGTCTCATCCAAGATCATCTTCAGGAGTGAATTGCTAAGACAAAGAATTAATTTTAAGTTGAGTGCGCATGAACGCCGTAGAATTCAAATAAAATTTTGCCACTATGTAAGAGAGGTATCTTTATTTATGTAAATTCTTATCAAAATTGTAATTACATGTTTTAAAATATTGTTTTAATTGTAGTTTTAATAATTTCAATTTAGATATTTTAAAACTTTGCTGTTATAAGAATTTTAGAGACCTTGGTGCTATACTCATAATTGACTTTATTTTTTTTGGCCATAAATTTTCATATAAAGAGCTTCCAGAATTTGAAGTTTGTTTTTTATTTTTGAATTTTACAGCAGATGTGAATGAAAGTACTTGAGAAAATAAAAACTGTATGGATAATTACAATGTTTTTCTCAATCAGTTTCATATATATATATATATATAAAAAATATTAAAAATCAGTTTGGATAATTCTTCGACATTACTGTAATTATTGAACAATATAGTTCATGCTATAACTTTGACAGAAAATTTACCAGTAAAAATTGATTTCATCACCATATTTGTATATGAAAATAAACAACTTTTAAAAAATTTAAAATCAAACTCAGAGTTTGAGGAAATGCGCTCCCAAAAACAATAACTCATTTCAATAGCATTTTCGGATACAACAATACATATATTTTCGTTGTCCTCTTATTACTAAGAGAAAAAAACAAGAACAACATCTATTCTATACCTGAAGATGTCTGTAGGAACAGACGAAAGCTTGTAGTAAAAAATAAGAACTAATATGGCAAAAATTTATAGAAACAAGGATCATTTCATTCATAACGGATTCGGAGGTTTTTGTATATTATTTGAATTGTTTGCGATGATGGATTTCTATTATAATTAAATCATTAACCTTTGCATTATTTTTTTTGTGAATAATTCATGAAATATATATATATATATATATATATTTCAATTATATATAAAATATCCATATATGTGTGTGTGTGTATGTGTCTGTATTTTTATATGTTGGATCGAATTTCCTTTTTTTTAGCCGATTTCAACAAAACTTCACAGGACTACAAAAAATTAATTTTTGGTGGTTGGTTCTAACATTTGTTTTTTAATAAAATCAAATTTGAAAACACGATTAAGACACATATTGAGAATGAAAGGGGAGAACTCACCCACGAAAATGTAAACAAAAGAGCATAGCATGATGAAAAAAAACGCCGAACTTGACGAAAACAAAATTTTATTTCTAATGTTCATATTATTATTAAAGAGGAAAGATCAAAGTATTTTTGGGGTATTTTTTTATTTTTTTTAATCGTTCCTAGCACGTCTGAAATTTTCGTTAAAAAATAAATTTTTTTTTTGGTAAAAAAAAGGACAGATAATCATTTTCAATATTTTTTTTCGATTTGATAAAAAGATTTAAAATCTTACTTTGATATTCTTTTAAAAATCAATTATCTTTTTTTTCAAAACTGATTTTAATAAAAACAGATATTATACTGTTTATTTAAAATATTTTGAACCATTTTTAACTTAGATTTCTGCGCCGAAAAAAAATGTAATTTGAAAATAAAACAAAGCAGGTCATAACCTTTCGCGTCGCTTGACGATTGACGAAAGGCACATTCATGACGTTTAGATAACTTACGGGGAGGGTAATTCTTTCTACGGATGGAAGGAAGTGAAATTATTTAAGTGAACAAATTATTTACCTTGTTACTTTTAAGGAAAACTTTCAGCGCTCTAATTTTTTTTTTTTTTTTTTTTTTTGTACTTAGCTTTCATTTTTACGTTTACGATGCTTTATGGAAAATATAAAGAAATTAAAAAAATAAGACTGTTAATAGTGAGATTAAATTTCATAAGAAAAAGGTATCTAATTAATTTAGGTACCTTTCTTATGAAATTTTATCAGAAGTGTACAAAAAAATACTATAATTTTATGTACATTTATTACATTTTACTGTGTTATTTGTATTTCCATTCATTTTATTATTAATTTTGATATTTCATTTATGGAAAAATGTCATAACTGAGATTAATATAAAAATAAGATCATATAAATTAAAGTTTAGCAGTAGTTAAATTTCATAAGATGATACTGTTACTTGTAGGTACCCTTCTCAGTTGAAATTGAAAACTCAAATTAACTTCTCCATACGTGTTTCGCAAAAGTAAAGGGCTTAACAGCGGAGAACAATGCTGAACTCAAATAATGCAACTAAATTGTATTCTGGTTGGTCTTCCGTACTTGATAATTACTGTCCAACTATAAACACAAAAATTACATTTCTTAATTACCATGGCTAATCTGATTGGTCCAAATTATACAATTTTCAAAGCGCTAGACAATGACAATCTCACACGGACATTTTGAAAGGTTGATGTTGCTTTTAACTAATGTTAAAATATTTTTTTAAAATTCAATTTAAACATTTTTTAAAAAAATCTTTTAAAATTAAAGAAATAAGAAATAATTGTATTAAAAATTCAATTTTCATTGAAAATTTTTTTTTGCTTTCAGAAAATATTGTCCATATTCATAAAAACAAATTAAAACAAATAAAAGCATTTGAAACTAAATAATATATTTGTTTTATTGAGTTTTTGTATGTTACAATTCACAGCTGATTTTCAGGTACGTTGACCAAAAAAAAAAAAAAAAAAAAAAAAAAAAAAACATGATTTGCATTCTTCAAAGCCTTGTGCTTTTAAATATTGTAATCACTAAAACCGATGGTCTCGAATTTCTAGAGTTTTTCATAAAATTAGTTATGGGGGTGTTAATAAATATAAAAAAAATATTTCTGCCATGACTTTAATAAAAAAAAAATATTTATAATAATTTCGATCATCTGTGAATAGTTTCTGAAAGTTTCATTAACATCTGACAATTATTTTTATTTTTGCAAGATTTTCCAAATTAATGTGTGTAAATACAAAAAACGCGCTAAAAATTATCTATGTTATTTACTACCCCCTTGTTGTGACAAAGAGAAACAAGGTTTTTTAAATCAAAATTTAGAATATTCTAAAAGATGGAAAAATTTAAAAAAATAATTAAAAAAAAAAATTTAGTCTATCCTCTTCATAAAAACATAAGCATTTTGACGATAAAATTTTGTTTTCATAAACTTTGGCGTCTTTTTCATCAGACTATGCTCTATGTTTTAGCGATTCCGTGGAGTGACTTAGTTTAAAAAATGTTGTGTGTGTGGTTGTGTGTGTGTGTGTGTGTGTGTGTGTGTGTGTGTTTTTATATATGGGATCGGATTTTCTTACATTTTCAGCCGATAAAACAAACATCTTTTTTTTTTTGGCAGGTAGTATTTCTTATTGTCTTGCACACTTTTTTTCTTTATTTACATTCAGAATGCTTTAAAAATTCCATTTACAAGACAATTGTTTATAATAAAATTCTATTCACCAATCGATAGACTCATAACGATTGTAAACAATGTTTTGTTTGAGTTTGGGTTTGACCAATTCATAAAAAAAAAAAAAAAAAAAAAACTAATTAAGACATGCGTGTCCGTCAACCTTAAACAATAATCTTTGTCAATTTTTATTTTCAGTCTTTATGATGGTCGATACTTGATCTATCTCTTACTGTTACATCCCCGGGCAACGCCGGGCTCTACTAGTATATATATATATATATATATATATATATATATATATATATATATATTGTGTGTGTGTCAAATTAATGATGCTAATAAAAATGAATAATTTTAATAATTATTTTAAAGAACTTTAGAAAAAAATGACAAGCTTATATATTGATTAATGAAAGAAAAAAATATATCAAATTTTATTCTACAAGACCAAAATAAACACAATGAAAAGTTTAAAAAAAATATAATTCACCAATACATATCACTTAATAATTACTTAATAATTGCAATAAACACCTAAGATTTACCATTTACTATGAGAAGTT